CCACATCTAATGTATAGATCGTGATGGGCACACTTGAAAAATATGTTTTACTTTGAGTTAAATGTTGCACACGGTATTGAACTGAAGAAGAAGTGAAGGCTAAGTTTCTAGACATACAGTCAAAAGTGAAGAATTTTATTAAAATTTATCACAAGATCGACCACAAATTAATGGATGAAGATGGACAAGTAATGTTGCAGCGGGCATGGGTGGAATATAGACAGAAAAATTATGGGGTTGATTTTCCATACAAACATGCTTGGGATTTTTTAAAAGATATCCCGTATTTTTAAATTATGTATTTTGCTACTTTTATGTTTAATAAGGTTATGGTACCTATAAATTATGTTTTTTTTTTTGTCTTTGTAATATCTAAAAAATATTAGATCAATAATAATATCATTCATTAATCACTCCAAAAATCGATTACAAACATAATTAGTTGTGATTACGTAGGCAATAAAACGACCATCAATGGGTTTGGTACTTCCCATTCAAATGGAGGGGGAAGAGGGTGCATATTTTGGTTCTGGTAGGTAGTTCGAAACACATCAGCCTGGTAATATATCTTAACCATATTTGCTAATTCAATGATGTTTGAATAACATGATACTACAATAGCATGACCGCACGCTATATCCAGAATGCGCCATTGTAACACCCAGTTCCTGGTATGTATTTAAAGTTATTAGTTATTCATTTTTGTACAGGAACTCGACGAGTTGGAGGCCCCAAACTCGTCGAGTAGAGATGGATTTGGACGCGGGTTATGAAGTCTACTCGACGAGTTGAGAGCCTCAACTCGACAAGTAAGCCTGGCAGAATGAAACCCTAATTTTCAGGGTTTAGCACCCTATTTACACCTTAACCTCTAAAGGATGGCCTCATTTACAGCCTCCATCGTCCCAAACCCTAGCCAAGAAACCATAATCCACTTTTGGAGAGTTTTGAGCCATTTTTGTGCATTCTTTGTGATTTTTGAAGCTTATGAAGGAAAGAGAAGCTTGGGGATTCAATAGGAAGCTAGTAGATCCAGAGTTTGAGCTGCATTTCTGACTCATTTGAGGTATAAATTTGACACCTTGGCTTTCTATTACTTAGATCTTCATTTAGGGTGGTATGTTGTCACTTTTAGGCCATATTGAACTCATTTTCGGGATTTGAGTATATCATGAAGTTGTGACTTCAGATCTAGGCACTCATGAGATTATGAGGCTTAAAGTTGCCAGCTTTATCAAGCATTGGCCCTTCCCCATGCCTTAGATCTCTTATATAGCTTAGTTTTGGTGTTTCTAGCTTCATGACACCATGCATGGACGTAAAGTTAGCAACTTTACATGGTAACTTAGTCCTAGGGGACCAGATCTATGGTTTGGAAGCATTGAACTCGATTGAAAATGACTGAATAGGTGTAGACTAAGGGAACTCGACGAGTTGTTCATGCAACTCGGCGAGTTGGATCGTGATCTCCAACCTTTTCTGATTCCTGAGCAAACTCAGCGAGTTGGTTAAGGTTTTATGAGTTTTGAAGATTTAAGAACTTGACGAGTTCAAGGAAGGACTCGACGAGTTGTAGCGAAATGTCCCGATTCTATTATAGGAAGGAACTCGACGAGTTGGGTTGCGATTTCAGGGTTTGTAATTTATGGAACTCGGCGAGTTGAGTCAACCCAGAAGGTTGACTTTGACCAGAACGTTGACTTTGACTTGGACCTTGACTAGAGTTGACCCTTAAGGGGCTATGAGTATGAAAGGGTAATTAAAGGAGATTTTTATGTGTAGGAGTTTGAGAGGAGTTGATTCCAGAGTCGAGGACAGTTCAGTTACTTCACGACATTTGAGGTGAGTTACCTTCCAGTAGAAGTGGGTCGAAGGCACCAATGTCGGCCCACTAGTAGCTGATTATAGTAGATATGATTGTCTTTGTGATAATTGTCTAGTATGCAACTATCTGTTATGCTTTATGTGCTAGTATGCTATGTTATTATGTGATAGTGGTAGGAGGGGTAGGTTAGACCCCATAGTCGGTTGAGATAAACCGGAGGGTAGGTCCGGCACCCCAGATATGCCTGACAGTATGTTATGTTATGTATTATGTGGTAGTGGTAAGGGTGAAATAGTCCCCGTAGCCGGTTGAGATAAACCGGAGGGTAGGTCGAGCACCCAGATATGCTTGACATGGGTAGGTCGGGCACCCCAGATATGTCTGACAGGGTAGGTCGAGCACCCATATATGCTTGACATGGGTAGGTCGGGCACCCCAGATATGCCTGACAGGGTAGGCCAGACACCCAAATATGCCTAGCTGTATGTGTTTATGTGATATGATGGGGGAACTCACTAAGCTTTGTGCTTACGGTTTTTAGTTTTGGTTTTAGGTCCTTCTTCTTTCGAAGGGAAAGGGGACGACAGGATAGCAGCGCATCACACACGATTTTCCGCACATGAGATCGATGGGAGATGTACTCTGACATTATTTTTATATGACATGTTTTGAAATATTTAATACATGAGTTTTTGAGTATGATATGAGATAAAATTATCGATGAAAATGAAATTTTTGGTCATGAATTTTGGGATGTTACAACCATTTTCCACATGAACAGGTACGACGGTTCAGTTCTACAACACAAGTTGTTTTAAAATCAAGAACATTGAAAATGTCGGACGCGAATGGAGACGGGATCTCGCGCGGGATCTTTGTTGCTTGCCACCGAACAGACTTTTGCATCCTCCTCTGAAGCACAATCTTTGCATACGGGGGTTAGTACGCTAGTCAACCTCCTTAAAAAGTAAATATTATCATTTAAGTTAGGGTAGTTATTGTACAGGTAAAAAAATTCAATATTTTACTGTATTTTACCTCCCATGAAACTACGTTCAACAAAAATCTGTTGAATGTAGTCATGAATTGCCATTGGTAAGCGTTATTATTGGTACATTGCATTGATTAACTGATAACACCAACAAAAATTGTGGAATATCATTGTTGAGTACATTCCAACAGATGTTAGGGAAATAGACTCTTGACCATTTCACATGACCGGTGTTGAGCACCTCACGTGCATCATGGGTTAGCCGACGAAAGTTTTGCTCAAAATCATACATAGTATATGACTTGGATGTCATCTAGAACAAAGGTTCCAATGTTCTGCGAGAGACGCATGTTGTGCGCATATATACATGAACACACTTTTATAAGTATACCTATGATACGAATCAGATAATACATGACCTATGCAAGAACTAACGACATCTTCCATATTGGTTATGAACGGTACTTCCTTACCCACTCCAAGAGCTTCCTTTAAGCTCATAAGGAACTAGGTACAATAGTCGAGATTATTTTCCACCACCATACTAAATGTTATAGGGAGGGTTTGGTTATTCCTATCGATAGTAACCGCTACAAATATTGTGTTTAGGTAATTCCCTCTTAGACACACACTACCTATGAAGATGACAGATAACAAACATCCTATGAATGCATGAAGCTGTATTTTTTGGGAACACAAAACAATTAGTTTAGATGTATAAACATTATCAGTTTTAAAGAAACAATAAAAATGTGTATAAAAAATATACCACACATCCAATAGCCACAAAACAAGCTTGGAAACGATCCATCACATCAGTTTTGACGTGAGTGTAAGTATGTGGGTTGGTTCGCCTAAGGTTGTATAGGTAAACATGCAGGTTGTTAAAGCTTTCTTCGTGCTCATTCTCTGAGAAACTCATCTTGAAGTAGTTATAAGACATAATTACGGATGATCGAAAGTAAGCGTCTAAGTACATGCGGACACATATATATGTAGGGGATGAGTTTTTTAATCCGGAATAACTGTCAGGAACGGGTCTCCGGAACTTGTGTCAGTGACTTCGTATTATCACTTCAAAATACGAGCCTGACAATCGTACAAAGATTCCTATTTCGGACATTGGTACTTCAGAATGTAAGTCCAGAATGTATGAAGATTCTTATTTAAGACCAGAGCTCCAGAATGAGTACCTGTCTCCGAAATGCGCTATTTCGGAGAAAATGTGGTTGGTAGAGTTCCGAAATAAATACCATGTCTCCGGAATGCGCTATTCCGAAGAAAGTGATCATTTAAAAAAAATTAAGTTGGTTATTATTATCAAAGTTATTTTTCTCAAGTTACCATATATTTAACCATAATTGTATTTTTTTTCTTTTTAAATTTTTTTTCATTTCCTAAGCATGAATACAAACTCACTTGATTTATTTGACAATCACAAACTATATGCTTATTCATTAATGTGAAAATAATAAAAAAAACTAAACCTTAAAGTGAAATCCTTTTATCTATTTATACCTATTTCTAATTCTATCCTCAATAAGTCCAACACATCCAACTCAATATCGTACCCACTTAATTATTATCGTGGGTTACCCAATGGGTCCATTAACTTTTCATCTCTTTTACAACCATTTTTTTTTTTCAAAATTTGAAAGCACACAAGGGCATTTTAGTAAAACTCGTCTAACTTCATGTTTGGAGCAACGAACAAAAGACTGTAGCAGCAAGTGGAAGGGACAAAAGGAGACACATGTCATTTTCTTAAAAACTCACCCCATTATCGTCATTGTCATTCTTTGCTTAAATATACCTCCTTTTAGTGCAATATAAATATAATAATTTAGTTAAAATATATAAATATTAAAAGGTTATAAATACAATAATAATATGTATTTAAGTGTTTCAAGTAAATTAGATCATTTAAAATAAACTTTTATTTTGAAAATATTAATGTAAAATCAAAAAAATGCTAACAAAAAAATCCATTTTCATCGTAACTTATTCTGCTATGTTAATTGACTGTTCGATTTGTTAATTGTTAAAGGAATATTTGATGATGTTTTTAAGAGAGAAATAATAATTAGGTTCCAAATGCATCAACCATTTGTACTCTACAAGTATGTAATGCACTTCAAACACGATTCTGTTGGTAGCCCTTTTCCATCGTCGTTATTTTCTCAATCCACCACATTCATCTCTTTCACCTACAAACACACACTCTCTCTCTAAAAAACACAGACTCACACACTCTCTCTGTCTCTCTTCAACTTCACGCACTACAACACTTTCTTGAATCATACCCACGAAGAATTCTTATCTTTCTGCAATTTCATTCACTAATTCAGAGAAACGCATACTTTCTTTCCTTCTTTTTCGGTATAACTTTACTGGATTTTGGAGATGGGGAGCAGAATCCCATCGCACCAGCTCAGCAATGGATTATACGTATCGGGTCGACCCGAACAGCAAAAGGAACGCCAACCCATAATCGGGTCACGAGCCATACCTTATACCGGCGGCGATGTCAAGAAGTCAGGTGAACTGGGAAAAATGTTCGATATATCGGTTTCAGACCACCCACCTCCTGTTCTCAAGGCTCATCGTGCATCATCTTCTTCGCAACAAAGCAGCGGATCCCTTAGATCCGGACCGAATTCCGGGTCCGGGCCTATCCCTAAACGATTATCCGGGTCGGGACCGATGGTGGGGCTTCATCCAACTGGTTTACTACTGACCTCCGGCCCACTTGGATCGAGCGTTGGCCGGAGATCCGGTCAGTTGGAGCCACCGACAGTGAGTTCGAAAGGGAAAACTATTTACGGTTCCGCCGTTACGACGTTAGGTTATGATGACGTGAAGTTAGGGTTTAAAGTATCCAAAAAGTTAATGTGGATGTTGTTGGTGATCGCGGTGATTGGTTTGATGGTTGGGACTTTTTTAATGGTGGCGGTGAAGAAGCCGCTGATTCTTGTGGCGGTTGCGGGTGTTCTGGTACTCGCCGTCGTCGTCATTTTATGGAACTGTGCTTGTAAGAAGAGAAGATTAAAATCTTATTTACGGAAATACCCTGATGCGGAGCTTCGAGGCGCCATTGATGGCCAATTCGTCAAAGTTACTGGGGTAATTCACTAACTACACCCACACACTCACACTTTCCATATAATTCACTGAAATCGTTGATCAAAAGAACAACCTTTATGGAAAGTACAATTAATTATGCGTTACGTACAATGCTATTAAGAGTTTACGTCTTTAAGACATAAACAACTCTGATAATCTGATTCTTCACATAAAAAATGTAATCTTTGCTTTACATATGGAACTCTTAAGTGTGTTGGATGGGTGAATCCACTTGACATAGAAAATTAATAGCCATGATTGGTCCTTACTATAAATAGTATTGTATTAGATGCCAAGATGGTGGATTGAAAGATGGAATTTAAAACCGATATTGTACACCAATATATTAATCAATTATTACTTTTTCTGATCCGATTACGTATGGGCAATGGGGTCAGAAGAACTAAATGATAAAGTCCACTTTCCAAATCAGGAAATCATTTGCAGGTTTTCTTGTCAGGGGTGTAACTTTTTTGCGATCCATTTTAAATAAAGTGAAAGTATGTTTGCTATTGGAAGTGGTTTAAGGAAAGTATTGTATTCCCTTGAATAGGAAAGTCAAGTCTCGAGTGATAGAATAAAAAAAACAAAGTGAAAGTATGTTGCTATTTATCGCATGCAGGTAGTGACATGCGGAAGCATCCCTCTTGAATCATCATTCCAGAAGGTTCCAAGGTGTGTTTATGTTTCTACGGAGTTGTACGAATACAAAGGGTGGGGTGGTAAATCGGCAAATCCTAAGCACCGATGCTTCTCTTGGGGATGTAGAAATTCCGAGGTTAGTTTACGTTAAGATTGACCGTTTGTCAAATGTCTAAAATACCCTTCAAGCAGGAGGGTAAATAAGGGAATTTTACATTTTGTTTCTTTTGATATGTAGAAATACGTGGCTGATTTTTATATATCGGACTTCCAATCGGGGTTAAGGGCGGTGGTGAAAGCAGGTTATGGGGCAAAAGTAGCTCCTTTTGTTAAGGAAGCAACGGTGGTGGATATAACCAAGGAAAACCGTGAGTCGTCTCCGAGTTTTGTAAGTTGGCTTGCGGATCGAAGTTTGTCATGTGATGACCGTGTTATGCGCCTTAAAGAAGGGTAAGTTACTGACATAACAGGTGTGTTTGGTGTGTATTGGACTGAGACCGATGTTAATGAGACAAAAGTTGTACTTTACTGTGTTTAGCATACATTGTGATTTGTGCAATACAACTAGGACTAAAACTAACGTCAAAGGGTAATTTTTTGTCCCACTAGAAAAGGTCGGAAAAAGGTGTGCCATATAATGTGAAGTGTTTGATTATTAGTTAAATATCTGAGTGATTGTTTGTCATTGTGTAATTGTGTTACAGATACATCAAAGAAGGGAGTACAGTTAGTGTGATGGGGGTGGTAAGGCGACACGAAAACATGCTTATGATTGTTCCACCAAGTGAGCCGATCTCAACAGGCTGCAGATGGGGTTGTGGGCTTTTTCCAACTTATGTTGAAGGTCTTGTGTTGACTTGTGACGAAAGTCAAACTGCTGATGTCATACCCGTGTAAAGCTATTCGAAGGTCTTCATGATGTTTCTGCTTTAAGAATTTGCCATCCGGGTATATAATGTAAAATGAAAAAAAAAGTTGTAGAAGAGGCAACAATGAGACGATAATTTGAAGAGTATTTAGTTTTTATGTAAAAAATGGAAGCAAGATTGGGAATGAGAGCTCCAAGATGAAGAACAGAAGTGTATTCATTGGAGCAGATAAAAGAATTCCCATAAGATATTATGGAATTTGAGTTAAAAATTATGTATAGGTGTTGGTAATGGGTTCAAAAAGTGAATTCTGAAAATATTATTTATTTTTTTGTGTATTTATTTTGTTAGGTGTATGTGTTCTCTGATGATCATAATGCAAAAGCCTCTAAATAGTTGGGTAATTTATCATGGAATTTGTAACAAAACAAACCTATGTTCGACAATGATGAGAGATTTTAAGTTTTAGCTTCTAAAAAAATAGAATTATAGAAAATTTTGTTCACAAGGACGAGCATGCGCATGAAACTTTTATTTTAAATAAAAACTTTTAATTCAAACGCCATTATAAAATTTTATCTTAAACAAAATTTTTTAATTCAAACGCCATTTTAAACTTTTATCTTAACCAAAAACTTTTAATTCAAACGTTATTTTAAGTACTATCGAAGTATTGATAACTTTTAGATTTTAGCATTTATATTTTATGCCATTTTAACATTTCGAAAAAAAAACTTACTAACTATTTTTATTTCTATAAAAATAAAATTACATTTCCTCTTTTGTAATTTTTTGGAAACGACAAATAACATTAAAAAGCCACACGACTAGCAAAAACTAGCCGGGGGCGAAAGCAAGAACTTCCTCTTTTGTAATAATTAATAGCTAGCTTTTACTAAACATCTTTAAGATTTTAAGATTTCTTTGAATTATTAAAATACAAAATCAATCATTATTAAAAGTTGTCACGTTTTGTTTGAGCTCAAATTGATTGAGCTCTCTATTTCATTGCCTTTTTTTATAGTAGGAACTTAATAATTGTGGAGGTTTTAGGTTCATGTCATATTAGACCATCCACATCAGTGCAATGCCATTAATTTTTCGAATGTGACACATCAGTTTTGCAATGACTACTCACATCGGTGCAATAACACTCATCTTTCAAAAGTGGTCCCCATTGCCACATCAACATAAATTACATTAGTTAAATTTAAATCTTTTATTTAGTTAATAAAATAATTACGAAATAGATAATCTAATAATAGTATTTTAATCGACCAATTACTTAAGTAATTACGAAACGAGATAATGATTTAAAGATGTGTAATATATTAACAAGCAAATTAGTAAATAAAAATCACGATGGTACTTTAATCAATTAAACAAGTGATTTAATTAAATAATTGAAAAGCATTATAATATAATTATATATAGCAAGTGCCACGTTGATGAGTAGAGGGACCCACTTTTGCATTTGAAAGCCTTTCTATATCTGCAAGAACTTGCTGAGTTGGATTTGCCATGTCATGTTCACAGAGGTTTGCAAGTTCATTTGCAATACCGATGTGGATGCTCTTATGACATAACCTAAGCCATGAAATTGCAAAATTCAGCCGACAATTTGACACACCATCCACACATGTATCAATAATTGCACCTTTAGTTTGTTCATTTTTCGAAATATGTGTTCTTTATATATTATCAAAAATTTTGAACAAGTTATAAATTTTGAATTGTGCAAATACGTATCAACATATTTCTTCTAGTGATGCACTAGTTTGTATCACATAAACTTCATGATATTTTTTTATTAGCCTGTCTCCATGAAAAACATCCCGTACGGTTGTGTCATGCCCAATCAGATATTAATATATTCCAATGAAAAAAATACTAGTATAAGTTAAGGGTTCATTTAGTTCCCATAATGTTTTTAGAAGTAAATGAAGTTTGTAAAATAATTAGAACTTTTGAAGGAATTGAAATCCAAAACAAATTCTAATCATTTATGTATTGGTTGACATGGAAGATAATATGTTTTTTGTTTGGCTTACAAATTTGTCAAATGAACTAGAAAGTAAATTATATAAATATAACCAATAAACATATTTATTTATATCGGTAATGTGTGCGTATTGTGTGTAAGGTTGGGTTGGGTTGGGTCGAGGTGGGATGGATCTGGGTGTGGGTGGAAGTATGGTCGGGGACGGGTGGGTATGGGTTGGGGGTAAGGTGGATGTAAGTGTAGGCGGGATGTGGTGCGGTGGGTTGGGTATGAGTATGGGTGTAGGCGTAAGGTAAGTTGGGATGTGATGATGTAGGATACGGTGATGTGGATGTGTACGTGTGGTTGGGTTGGTTAAAGATGGGTTTGGATCCGCATATGGATAAAGTGGGATGGGTATGAGTGTAGATGTTGATGGGGATGGGATAGAGTTGGTTCGTTGATTTTGAAGACCCTATGCAAAAGATAAAAGTGAGCCCCTAAATAAAAATTTTCTATATATAAGTGAAATAAATTGAAGGAGTGAATTGTGCATGACTAAAAAGTAAATGAGTTAATTAAAACGACACAAATGTAAATGTAGTGTTAAATATGTAACTTTTAGTGTTAAATGTTGTGTTCAACTAAAACTAGCGTACTAACCATGTGAACTATATAGGATTTATGAAGATTTTTCTCAAAACTAATGTATATTAAGTTATAGTATACAATAAAAGATAATTTATACAAAACTCGGGGCTATTTTTTTCGGGGCCCTGTGGCTGCACACTTGACACCCTCTCAGGGGCGGACCTAATAATGATAATCTGTATTGATTTGATGAATCATAACTAAAATAACGAAGTGGTGGGAATATATTTTTATCTTTTTAACAAAACATAAAAGAATAGAAATTAAAATATTTGCTCTTAGGCAAAGAATGACAAATTTATTCAAACCATATAATTTCATAAAATTTAAAGAATTTCAATTTTTGTCTATTACAATTCACATTCTAATTCCTCCAATTTCTTTTTGAAATCGATGAACCAACATACCCTATGTTTTTTTTTTTTTTTCCAACGGTTGCGTCGTTCGTAATTTGTTTGTCCATATTTGATAATTTGATTTGGATATGAAGTTGATTAAAACACAATTGTCAGAATATTAAAAATATTAAGATGAGTTTTATCCGTAACTCAATTGTGTAAAATGTCTACAGCACTTTTAAATTAAGGTTGAGAGGGAAATTTGAAAAACTTTAAAGTAACTAGATGAAATTAGATGCGCCTTTGGCGCTGGTTTTTTTTTTATTGGTTATTCGAAGGTGTATTAAATAAAACCATCGACTGTTCTTCAATGACTTTAGATGCTGCAATCATTCACTTGTTACTTGAGAAGTTGATTAGTTTAGCGACACCAATCGTCTCCGACCTGCAACAAAAACACAACAATTACACAATTAGCAGAGCACCACACCTTCTTGATAATAATCATCATCAAAGTTTAAGTTATCTAAACTTTGTTATGCTCATGTATAAGAAAATCTACACACATGATAACAGATAGATAACAAATAATATTCATATACAATGAATATGTACAATTGAGTTGTAAATGATATTAATTTTTAAAAAAAGAAGCAAAAGTAGCTGAAAAGAAAATGCTTCAAACCTTTACTCCACTTGTTTACTCTAAACAACAAAAAAGAAAGCACACAAACGCATACATAAGTTACCTGAAAAGCTTGCTTGTGGGTTTGAGAAAGTGTAGGGCAAATTGACTCTAAAAAAACGCTGCTCCAAATTAATGTCCAGGTATTGGCTGCATCGAACACCTGCCAGTTGGTGAGACATGGCCTAGAATGACAAATACTTTACAAACAAACGTATACAGACAATTCCAAGAACAATTATTAAAGCAAAATTAAACCAAAAGAACCTGCAATTTTGGAAGTCATCTGCATGCTCCCAAAACAGAAGTTCTGGTCAATGTTGATGGTTGTGGTCTTTTAGACCAAAATCTGACATTTTTACCCTTTTCGCCTCCTTTTTAACTCATGAACTTCCCAAAAAAGTTGTCAAATGTAAATAACTTATCAACTTATACATAGTGAATTTTGTTAGATTCAAGATCCAATCTTTAATAGATAGTTGAATCCTCTAGACTGTTCATTGGCGGGTATTTTTGTCATAGGGAACTTGTTTAATTCTGATTATATCAACTTATGGTCATTGGTAACCCATCAACTCTTGATAGATAAAAAAATACTTCATAATTCATTCCAATAAAAAAACATACATACATACGAAATCCATATTGAATGGTAACATAAGAACCATCTATCTATTTTATTTTCCAATCGATGTCTATTCCAGTTTTCAACATCAAGATATTGGAAACCCATTAATGATAAAAATGAGATACTAAACATTTATTGAAAGATTTAGACAATTTGAAAGAGAAACATGATAATAATGTATAAAACCCCACAAATCTTGTCAAATCCCAACCATTTCTTTCCCCTGCCAACAGCACTTGCTTCAATTTTCCCGTTGTTTGTGTCCCCTTCAATAATATTAACTAAATCTAAATGACAAATAATCCCATGCATCAATTATTTAATATGATAATGGTCATCACATATATTTTCAAAAACAAATAAATAAAAGTATATGATCTAATAAATGAAATCATATACACGGTTGTTTCATGCATGATTCTGATTGATAAGTTATCTTTCCAGTAATTAGTATATATATTTGAAAACTTTACATATATTTGTTAGTTATGATTTTCAAAAAACCAAAACAATAATTCATTTGATTCTTGAAGGTGGAACTTAAAAAAAAAACAAATTGCCTGGTGGAGAAGATAGGAAAAGATGAAAATCAACAGGAGATACATGAATTAGGGTAGAATTAGGCATCAGTAGAGGAGCTATACGATTCAAATGGCCTGAGTTGGTCACCGATTTCGGTTTTCAATAGGCAGTCGGTGCGATAACTTAAGATAATGAACAAAAAAAAGGCACAATTTATTACCTTTAACATCAAACGGATCACATTTAGCAGAGGTATTTCTTCCAATACCTCTTCTCTTCAAACATACTATTAAGTTGTTCCCATTCTTCCCCTGATCATTAACTAATCCATCACCAATTTTTTCTCAAACGCAGATTTGTTCCGAGGAATCTTTGACCCGTTTGAAGAACTGGAAAACCTAAAAATCAATATCGTATGGAAATTGATTAAAAATTAGGAATAAGATGAACCCAATTTGGCGATAAAAACGATGACGAAAAATAGGATCTTTGATGGAAAGGGAAATTGCACCGGGTGGGTTGTTTGATGACGATAGAAAACGTTCGCTTCGTTGCTGCTTTACTCGGTCGTTCATCTCTTTCTAAGTGTTTGTGTGTGTTTGTCTCTCTAAAATCTTCAGTCAAGTGTTAGAGAGAGAAAGCGGAGGTTGGTTTGGCTGTTTGGTTATGAGGATTTGGAAGATTTAATTCACCCCAGCTGTCGCCGCCTTCGACAACTTCACCTTCACCGCCGCGTTATCACTGATGGCAATCCCCGCAACCTGCAACACCGTCAGATTAAGCTACCTGTTTCAAGTCGGCTCCAATTTATGTGCAGAAATTAAGGTACCTGAGTATGACTATACATTGTGTTGGCTGTTGAGACATTTTATCAAACACTTGTTATGCATAATAAAAAGGACAAATGTAACAATCCCAACCAAAAATTAAGTTTCCCATTTGCGTGTTGGAAAATTACTCAATGAGAGCATCCATGGATTAAGCGAAATCTCTCACACAGAAACATATAAGAGGAACAAAAAGTGATAGCAGATAAGAAGAAGAAGGAAAAGTAAAGAACAAAGAAAGAAGAAATAAGAACACCAGGAACGAAGAGTACTGGATGAAAAGGGCGGCAACGCGACCATCAAAGCAGATAAGAAGACAAGATAACAATCGGAAAACATATGGCGGTCTGTGGGATCGAATGTGAAATAGACGTAACTTTCGTGTCAAAATAAGAAAGAGGAAGAATCTGTTCCCCATTTAAGCTTTTATGGTATATATAATTAGATTATTAAGACATGAAAGATCATGGGACCACTTTTTTGACTTAGGATAAAAAAGGCGCAATTCAATAATTCAAATACGATTTAAAATAAAATCATGATGAATAATATCCACCATCTTCAATATTTTATTATATATAAAAAATTGACATATTATTTGTCATTATATATATCATAGTTGTGATCGTAATATTTTTAATTACATATTTAAGTTTTATTTATATGATACATAAATATATAAAATATGATTTGGGACTCAAGAAACCGAAATAAATATGTAAAATATGATTTGGGACCCAACAAATCGGAAAGAAATGGCACTTGGCAACGACGTCGTAAGGCTACTTTGGTCCTATAACAAGGGGGAAAACAGAAAGCGCAAAAAATGTAATTTCAAATTTCCAAACCCCAAATGTTTATCTAAAACCCCAACAAGAAGAGTAGAACCTCAGCCATCGATTACTTTTTTGGTTTCTTCCAGTTCATAGAAGAAAATGGTGATTGTATCAGGTGCGATGGCTACTTGTTCGAAGGAGCATCAAAAAATCTATCAACAATGGTTCAACTATGTCGATTCAGGTTGTAATTCCATTTCATAATATTTAATTAGCTTTGTTTCAGGGTTTTAATTCGTAAATCCTCTAAATTGAATCATTTTGCACTCGTTTACATCTTGTATGTCAGTATATGTGTGTTTAGTTGTTTGGTTATACAGACGAACTATATACGTAGTGGTTTAATCTGTGCATATTGTATGAAATTTCTACCGAATTCGTCGTATTTGATCTATATCACGTACACACACAGTGGTCTGCGTATGATTGTATTGGATATAGTACGGCTGTATATGTGAGTGTATACTTATGTTTGTGCGTTATTATATGCAGATGGTGATGAGCGAATAACAGGAGATGATGCAACGAAGTTTTTTGCTATGTCGAATATTGAAAAATCTGAACTTAAACAGGTTAAATCGAAAACTTGCTCTCAAATGATAGACGTGACTTGACGCATTATGTTTTGCCCTTTCTATTATATAACATTCACATGATTGATGCTGAAATGAAATGAAATCCAACAAGCAAAGTACAGAGAACTTTTGCAAAATGGCGATACTAATTTTTCTTTTCCTTGTGGATTCAATGGCTTCAAATTGTTTGTAGACCACACTGTTAAGCCAAATTTGCTAATGCCTTTTGTAAGAACTGATTTGTCATGCAAAAGTTAGGTTTGATGCAAAAGTTAATGAATTTATCATTCAGAAATGTAGCTGTTGACATATACTCTGTTTGCAACCAATATTCATATATGAAACATAACCAACCTACATGTTGGAGTATTTTGGGGATTTATGAGGCTCAGTAATATTATATATAACTATTCTTGTGCTATAAACATACTGAAGTTGGAAACTAATATACTAAAATATAGCTTTATAAAAGATTTTGTTCTTTGATCACGGTTATTGTTCTTTTTGAAGGTCTGGGCAATTGCAGATACCAAACGCCAAGGATTTTTAGGTTTTAAAGAGTTCATCACTGCTATGCAGGTACTTCTGCAACCTTCTTTTATGTGTTTTCAATATTCACACTACTATCTTACCTTAACTTGAAGTTATTGACTTCTTGTTTTGCTTGAGAACAGTTGCTCTCTTTGGCACAATCTGGTAGTGAAATAAGTGCAGAATCACTAAGAACCGGAGGTATGCCAATCTAATTATAATATTTATATGCCTTTGTTAGAATTTATTTATTTCTACAAGTAGATAATATTTCATATTATCGTTGTTTTGTTTTTTCTTTTTAATAGTTGATCTTGAGTTTCTGCAACCTCCACACATGGAAGGCCTGGATTCACTTCTGGTGGTAAGCAATAAACAGAATTGCATAAAGCATCCAATTTTTTATAGTTATAATTTATTTATGAAACTCTTTTTTGTATTAATGGTTTATTCTTCTCCCATACTCAGAAACATAGTGATTCAAGAACCAATGGTGTCCAAGAAACATATGGTTAGAGTACATTACATGTCTCATTTTTTATGTCACAAAATATATTCTTATTAATTCATTATGCTGGTTGCTTTGAGATGATGTAGGCAGTTTGACTGGTCAACTCGTGCCACCAAAGAATTTATTTACTTCAAAACTTAATAAAAAGGTAGTTTTTCTCACCTTTTTTCTTACTCACATCTTTATACAGATTATCATTAAACATTATTTCCTATATTTCTTTCTGTTTTAGACACCTCATCATGCATCTCTTGGTAAAGTCACATCCATAATTGATGGATTAAAGAGATTGTACAACGAAAAACTAAAGCCACTGGAAGTTGCTTATCGTTACAATGATTTTGCATCACCTTTATTGGTTAGAAAACCATAAACATTTCTAAAATTTTTAGTTTACATATCTCTTCCTCCATGTTTTAAATGTTTTAATCTTCATATGCAGACAAATAGCGACTTTGATGCAAAACCTATGGTAATGCTTCTTGGCCAATACTCAACTGGGAAGACAACATTTATTAAACATCTTCTTAAAAGCAACTATCCAGGTCACTTAATTTTCTTTAAAAATTATATATATATATATATATATATATATATATATATATACTCCTATTTTTTTAAAATGTACAATTTTTATAATCTTTCTTTTACATGGACAGGAGCTCACATTGGTCCAGAACCAACAACAGACCGATTTATTGTTATTATGGTAATATATATTAACATATAAACATATTATCAATGTTTTCTCTCTTTAGTTACATTTTCTTTCTTATATATTGTCGAATGATTACATTTTTTTTAATTGTTATTGCTGTGTAGGGTGGACCTGATGATAGAAGTGTGCCTGGAAACACTATTGCTGTTCAAGCAGATATGCCTTTCAATGCCCTTACAACTTTTGGAGGCGCATTTCTTTCCAAATTTGAATGTTCTCAAATGAATCATCCTGTAAGCTCATAATTTAAGTTTCATGACTACTCTGTATGTATTAATGTATATCTATACCTATATCTGTATTAAATTTGCAGCTTTTGGAGCATATTACATTTGTGGATACTCCGGGAGTTCTATCTGGAGAGAAGCAACGTACACAAAGAAGCTATGACTTCACTGGAGTGATAAAGTGGTTTGCTGAAAGATGTGATCTTATTCTCCTTTTGTTTGATCCTCATAAACTTGATATAAGTGATGAATTCAAACGCGTGATATCGTCTTTACGTGGTCAAGATGATAAGATTCGTGTTGTACTTAACAAAGCAGACAAAGTTGATACCCAACAAGTAAGAATTAGAATCAAAATTTTAAACTTTTCAATTGAACCCCTTGAAGTTTGAATCACTTGACATATTTGGTCCTTGTTGTTTCATTGAAGTTGATGCGGGTTTATGGTGCGTTGATGTGGTCACTTGGGAAAGTACTCAACACGCCTGAAGTCACACGTGTCTACATTGGGTATTTTTCTTTTTTCTCTTTTTGTAATATTGTTTCTTCTTTTTTAAATGTTTAATTTGTTGTGAAAATTATGTGAACAGATCGTTTAATGACAAACCGATCAATGAAGAATCAGTGGATTCCATGGGGAGGGAGCTTTTTGAAAAAGAACAGGATGATTTACTTGTGGATTTAATAGACATTCCAAAAAAAGCTTGTGATCGCCGGGTATATTATTATATTATGTCTTTTTTTTTTTTGGATTTTGATGAATATTAAAAAAGGATTTTTTTTTTTGGTAATTTTCAGATTAATGAATTTGTTAAACGCGCTCGGGATGCAAAGATACATGCTTACATAATTAGCCAGTTGAAAAAAGAGATGCCAGCTGTGATGGGTAAATCTAAAGCTCAACAGAAACTCATGAAGAATCTTGAAGATGTTTTTGCAAAGGTATTTGTGTCTTTCTAATGAACGTACATTGCTATTTATTATGTTTTAACATTTTTTTTTTTTTTGGAAAATGTAGGTTCAGAAGGAGTTTCATCTGCCAGCTGGCGATTTCCCGGATGTGGAGCAATTTAGGCAAGTTCTTGGAAATTACAACATTGATAAGTTTGAGAAATTGAAGCCGAAGATGATTCAGGCTGTGGATGATATGCTTGGATATGACATTCCGGATCTCTTGAAAAACTTTAAAAATCCATATGAATAAAGCAACGAATTTATGATGGATTTCTCATCCATTTTCTCCTTATGTTTTTTTTGAATTTGATGTCAAATGTTTTTGGTATTATTGCATAAATGCTGCCCACTTTTGTGATGGGCTTTGAATGGAAATCGCATGTGAAATTAAATTCCTTTGTTTGCTGTTTGGTTGGGTTGGTAGATTATCGTTTTCATGGAATATTTGTTGACATGGCAATTTTTTATTTTATAAAACACTTATGAATGTAATTTTTTTTTTCTTTCTGACTATGCGTGAGTGAAAGAGTATGCAAGTAAAATAATAATTTCCGACTTTTAGCATGCAAATCAAGATGGAGTAACCGAACAATATATATAAATATCGCCCTTTCATAAATAAAAAACACGACGTAAAGTATATTTGTTGCTCACATGATCATTTATGGAATGGAAAATGTTCATTTTGATTTTTAGTAATTAGATAAAATAAAAAACAAGTGAGCATATAGATCCTTGTAATAAAAAAAATATACAATTTACAATATCGCATCGAATTAGTGATGAACAATATTTTGTAAATTTTAAATGACAAAAGGAATAAGTTTAGTATGCACTTCAATGAAAAATAGATTAAAAATATTAAATCTCTAAAATTGAAAGCCCAAAAATTATAAATATGGTCCATGTTTGCAAAAGTCAAATTTTTTATTTTTTATTTTTTTTATTTATTTATTTATTTTTTTTTGATGTAAATGGTTATTGTGGTTTGCAAAACTTGCATTGATGGCCATTTTTTACTAACTCTTTTAGTATTCAGCCGTTAGAGACTGAATCTGTAAGGATATTTTCGTCTTTTCAAATATAAAGGGATTGAATTCGTTACTTTGACGATTTTTGAAATTTTTTTGAAAAAAAAATTAAATTGCTAGGGGAGGCCGTGACCTCCACCCCTCTTTATTAGCCAATGAATTAAACACTTGAACAAGAAAACCACTTGGTTTTTAAACTCATAAAATCAATAAAACATAAACAATAAATAAATTAAAAAACATTTTTTACATAATTTTTTTAATAAAACGAAGTGTAATATAAAAAAATAAATTTTTACAAACAATTTATATTTATTTACGTATTTATTTTACATAAAATGTTTTTTTTATGTCTTTAAAAAATAAGTTTTCGTATAATATGTTATTACGTTGTAATGAAAGGCAAAATCGGCTGAATATGTTTTTGTTTTGGCCCAATCGATTTTCTAAAAACCGCTTTTCGGTTAAAAAAAAACATAACAACAATTTTGTTATATATATTTAAACAGTTAATATGTTTTTTTATGTCACAACTAGTGTTAATCATTGTTATTTTAAAAAATATATATCTTTATTTTTTTCCATCGTCATTTTAATCATTCGTTTTAAAACTAGCGATTAAGTTGAACTACGTATTTAAATAAGACATATAACCGAATAGTTTTGTATGTTTTTTTAAATACATATAACCGAAAAACGATTTTTAGAAAAAGTATTTTTAAAGACATAAAACAACATATTTTACGTAAGGCGTGACTTAAGGCGGCAATGTCAAGCCTCGAGCTTTTCCGAGCCTTAGCGAGTCACATCGTTTGTAAGGCGTGACTTAAGGCGGCAATTTTGTATATAATTCATATTTTTATATGTATTTTCTACTACTATTCATTTTTATACCCATATATTAGTCAAGGCGGCGTTTTGGTAAAGTTTGGCGGCACATACAAGCCTTGGAGTCATGGCGAGCTTTTTAGAACCTTGGGCAATATAGAAGGGTGGAGAGTTTGAGCCTCCCCCTAGCAATTTAATTGTCTTTTTCAAAAAAAAAATTCAAAAATGGTCCTTGTGGTTTACCAAATGTCACGAATTCAGTCCTTTTATACTTGAAAAGACGAAAATGCCCTTACAGATTCAGTCCCTAACGGCTAAATACTAACAGAGTTAGTAAAAAGGGACGTTAGTGCAAGTTTTGCAAACCACAAGGACCATTCGCATCAAAAAAAAAATTAGTAGGGACTGACTTTGTGACTTTTGGCAAACCACAGGGACCATTTTTGTAATTTTGTCAAGAAGAAAGAAAGAAAAGAGAGAAGGTAAAAACATTCGGTTTAAAGGGAAAGTTGAACGACTCGGTCTTAAAGGAGCCTTAAAGGAGTTACAACTTCAACTCAAGGCATAGGCTTCAATATTATTAAATGACTCAGCCTTGAAGGAGCCTCAGTCGTCATCTCCTCTCGCAAACAGGTTCGTCTCCACTTACTTCTTACATCTTTCGTCCTAGTTTCGTTTCATGAATTTGGCTCAACTTTGAAATCCTTTCAACTTTAATAAAACTAGGTATATCTTAAGTTCAGATTATTATTTTTTGTATAAATTCTATATTTTCGACCTTATTCTATAAATTTTCAACATTATGATCTCATTTTGGTTGATTAAGAAAAAGTACCCAATATAATTCAGATTTTTCAAATGTGTTACTGATCTTGTTATTTCGATTTCCATGCGACGAAGTGAGTAGTTTCAACCATATGAGTTACTAATTGGGCATGAAAATGATCAGGATTTCTCAAGCTTGTTCAATCTGCTTTCATACATATTCAAGTCAAAATGGAGTGTTTTCAAGGTTTATTGAGCATTTTTCTTCTTAAAAACACAAATCTCGTACTTTTCAAGCTTGTTTGATTTTGTTCATTTCACTATATAATACATTCCAGGGTTGAATTTGAGTTCAAACGTATAATCATTTTTCATAGAAACGTTGATGAAGCAGTAAAAAGGCTTAAAACACAGGGAATTGAAGTCTTGTGTCACGTTCGATTCTAGACTCTTCCGAAGTACTCGAGAAAGTGCTAGAATGGCCCAAAAGACCCTAAAACATCCTAGATATCCCTAGGACATCGAAGAAAGATCCAGCGTCTTTCATGAAGTCTTGTAAATACATGTAGTTTAGTTGAAAACTCTAGAATACTCATGAATGTAAGATTAATGGAGTAATCATTGGGGGGGGGGGGCACAAGTATAAATAGGGAGGAGCTCATTTGCTCCAAACTATCAGAAGTTGCTTTGTATTATCTCACATTCTTATAATAAAAGTTCTCTTTTGTTTGTAGTAACTCCAAAGCTTTAGTCTTCTGCTTTCCAGGTCGTTAGTACATCTCAAGGAAGCGTAGCAGACCTGACTTAGTCGAAGTAACACTAAGTGGCACACGGTGATTGATTCATCATGTGACACATGGTATCAGAGACAGGTTCATGCAAGTAATAGATCGTAGACATGGAAGGAGGAAGCGAAGTAGCCAACATGCCCCTATCGCTAAGGAGAAGGGAAGAAAGTCTAAAAAGAGGAACCAATCGATAGATGCCTTGGCAAGCATAGAAAACAGGCTTACAATGGTGTTAAATTAACGTCAGTGAGATCCTTGAGTGGAAAGATATCGTTGATCAGTTTGTGGGAGATATAAGTGACACGAGTGATGGGATAAAAAAGTCCATCAATATCATCAAGGAAGATGTCCTCGTATTGATCAATACCTTGCGAAATGAGTTCCGTGAGAAGATAGGCGCTCCAGAAGATGAAGTAAAGTTATGAAAGGCAACGATAGTCGGAGGAGCTGTTACAAAGACAACGCCACACAGAGGCACCTAAATCCTTGAAATATAGAGGTAAGCACTATCCTAAACTAATCAAAGGGTTTTTATGGTCCTTAGAATGCTATTTCAATGCTATCGGAGTAAAGGATGACAAGTCTAAAACAGACACAAACATTCTATACTTGAGTGAAAATGCCGCACTATGGTGGAGGCGGAAGCATGGTGACATTAAAAAAGGCATATGCGTCATAGACACTTGGGATGAGTTTAAGAGACAACTCAAGAAGCAATTTTCCCCCCATAACGTTGAAGACGTAGCCATGAAGAAACTTTGAGGATTGAAACATGTCGGTTCAATTAAAGACTACGTGGTAGAATTTACCGCTTTGATGCTTGAGTTGCCCGATTTACAAGAAAAAGACAAGTTATTTAACTTCCAAGATGGACTACAATCTTAGGCTCATAATGATCTCAAGAGGAGGAATGTACAAAATGTCGATGAATCTATAGTTGTAGCGGAAAACCTTATAGACTTTCCAAGGGATGCACCACTTAGGAAGCCTAGTAGGGGAGATAAACCTACACTAAGGATGCCACAAAAGGAAGATAAGATCGTTTCTAAGCCCTCGACTGTCAAAGGAAAGGAAATTGAAGGGGGAAATCGAAGGGAGGTCAAGTGCTATTTTTGTGATGGCCCCCATTTGATCAATTATTGTCCCAATAAGAAAAGCTTCAATGCCATGGTCTTTGAAGAAGAAAAGTGGAAAGGGAAGAAGCACAATTAGGCTCCATGCGACTCCTAAACTCGGTGACAAAAGAAGAAACCCAATCAAAGAAAAGAGGAGGTATTATGTTTGTGAAAGTCGGTGCGCACAATAGAGTCACCAAAGCCTTGGTTGACACAGGTGCGTCCCACAATTTCCTTTCTAAAAGTGAAGCTGAAAAGATGAATATTCAATCCACCAAAGAAGTAGGCTGGTTGAAAGTTGTCAACTCTCCTTCCGATCCTATTCTTGGAGTTGCCTACGGAGTAATTATTGAGATAGGAGGATGGAAGGGTCCTATCGATCCGACTGTAGCACCGATGGATGATTATTGCATGGTCGTGGGAATGGAGTTCTTAGACCATGTACGTCTTTTTTCGTTTGAAGATCAGACCATGTGTATCACCAAGGGTTCAACAATACACATCATACCCTTGGAAAGAAGCAAAACAGAGTCCCAAATCCTATCCGCCATCCAACTCAATAAAGGAGAGATGACATATTTAGTAGCGCTAAAAGAAGAAATCATTCCTCCCAACGAGGAAACACCTAAGGAGGTAAAAGAAGTACCGGAAGAATTCAAGGACGTGATGCCACCAAAGTTACCAAAGAAGTTACCACTAAGAAGAGAGGTGGATCACGAGATAGAACTAGAGCTTGGAGCTAATCCACCAACAATGTGTCCCTATAGAATAGCCCCATCCGAGTTGGAAGAGCTAAGGAGACAGTTGAAAGAACTACTAGATTCTGAATTTATTCACCCCTCAAAGAGCTGATTCATCAACTCCAGTTATTGTTCTTTTT